AAATTAAATTTTTTATAACGTTTAAAATTAAATAAAAAATTCATTTGAATTTTGCGCGTTTTTCTTTTTTTTTACACGCGTTGTGTGTATTATTTCATTTATATCGAAGTATAAATAAATATTTATAAAAATAAAAAAAAAAAGGAAAATTTCCTTTAAATCGAATAAAAAAAGGAGAGAGAAAGAGAGAGAGAAAAGGTTCGAGAATAAAAAAAAAATTGTTTAAATAAAGTTATAAATTTTTTTTTTTTTTTTTAAATTAAAATGTTTGTTTGTTTGTTTGATTTTGTACTCGTGTCGATTTTTGTCCAGCACGAAAGGAAACAGATGGAAAAAAGGAAAAAAGGATGGAAGAAATATCATCTACGATTTTATTTCCTTTTTTTTCCAGTTTTCCAGCTTTTTTAAAAATTTTTACTACCGTTGTTGTTGTCGTCGTTGTAAATTTTTTTTTTTTTGTTTAAATAATTAAAATTTAAATTTTGTGAAAAAATAAAAAAAGTTTTCTAATGTTTTAATTACATTATCCAGGTATTATGGTTTCCAGCAAAATTCCAGTCGTGTCTGTTTTTACGCGTGAGAAAGGAAAAATTTTAACGCGTCATTTTTACAAATAAATTATTTTATAAATTTTAAATGTAAAAATAAAAACGGAAAAAAAACTTAAATTTCACGACTTTTCCATTTCATTATTATTATCATCATCGACTCATTCGTTATTTCTCCATTTTTTCTTTACCTATCTAATTACACGACGTTAAAATTTTTTTTTTCGTTTGAAATTTTCCAACCATTTAAATAAGATTTAAATTACTTTTTGTAAAAAGAACCCTTTTTCCTATAAGCTAAACAAAGGCTCTCAATATCTTTTTACTTTTCCCATTTAAAAAAATTATTTTTAATCTTTAAAAAAGCGTTAAAATCGTTATTCGAACGTTTACGAATTTTTTTTTTTTTTTTTTTTGTAAAAAAATCAAAATTTCGTGTTGTTCTCGCGTCGGAAAACCGTTAAATCTTGAAAATTTAAAAAAAAAAAAAAAAGAAAATCTTTTCCGCTCTTTTCCGCGTTGTAACCCCGACATGAATTTTGCATGCGGATTTTAAAAAAAAAAAATAAAAAATAAATTTCCTCGTTTTTTAAAGGCTTTTAAAATTTATGTAAAAAAAGAAAAAATCTTTAAAAGGTTAAATTCAATGTCAAAATGGCGGAATTTTTTTTTTTTAAATTATCAGCCATGTTTAACAAGATCGACAACTGCGATTAATTATAAAAAAAAAAAAAAAAAAATTTTTCGTAAATGAAGGTCATATTTTAATTAATGTTTAATATTTTTGACTAGTGACACGAAAAAATATCGTAAAATACAAATTTTTATTATAAATATGTTAGAAAAAAATGGCGGAAAATTTTAACAAAATTGATTGAAACGAAAGTAATTTTTTTTTTTTTTTTGATTTACGTTTACTTTATCGAATATATATATTTTTTTTTTTCTAGAAAAAAAAAGAAAATTTTTGGAAAGATGACATTTTTTTTTTGCTTTTTTCCTGATAAAAAATGATATTTTATTAAAAAAAAATAAAAATTGTAACCGACGTTCGAATAAAAATTTATATAAAAAAAAAACCCTCATTAACTAAGTAAAAAAAAAAAAAAAAAGGAAAAAAAAAGGAAGTAAAAGGAAAAAATTTTTTTTTATATATACGTATTTAAAATAATTGCAATTTAAATGACAAAGAAAAAAATAAAAATGGAGAATGAAAACAAAAAAAAAATTTTTTTTTTTTTCAATAATGGAGAAAAGTTTAAATGAATAATTGACAGTGAGGATAAAAAAAAGATTTTTAAAAAAAAAAAAAGGGGATGAAAAAAAGATGGTGGTGGTGGTGGTGACGGTTGTAGAAAAAGGGCAAATAAAAAATTGATTGGAATTGAAAATTTTAATGATAATAATAATATTCTGTTTCTTATCCAGTATTTTCTTTTTTTTTTGTTCTTGTTATAAACCCAAAAAAAAAAAATTTTCTTTAGTTTTTCTTTATCAAAAAATGAAAAAAAAAAAAAAAAAGGAAAAATGAATGCCAGCATTTGACCTTTTTTTTCAAGTTTTTTCTGTTGTTTCTCTACGCCCCTCTCACCCCTCCCATCTCCCTTTTTCTCTCCTCCCCCTTCTCCTCCTCGTTTATTTTCTTATAATCTAAATTTAAATAATTTTTGGTTTTTATAAGACAAAATTTACTTTCTATATATTTTTTTCTTTTTTTTTTCTTCTCGGATTAAAATATTTAAAAAAAAAAAAACAAAAACAAAATGGCGGCTCTATACGGCTTTACGTTAGTTTTATGAAAGGAAAAAAAAAATGAAAAAAAAAAAAAATTTCGTTTCGTTTTTTTTTGTTAAACTTTGATTACCGAAATTATTATTATTATTATTATTATTATTATTATTATTATTATTATTATTATTATTATTATTATTATTATTATTATTATTAATTATTATTATTATTATTTGAATTTTTGAAAAAAAAATTAAAAAAAAAAACGTGAGGTAAATAATTTTTTTTTTTTATATTTCATAAGGATTTTGAATTTTCCTTTAAATTTTCCTTTGTTTTCCTACATTTTTCCTTTTTTTTCCTTATTTTTTGACAAATCGAATGTTTAAAGTGGTGGCGGTGATAAAAAATATTTCAAATTTCTTATCACCGAAAAACATAAACAAGAAATTTTTTTTTTTTTTTTTTGTAAATCAATTATTAATCAAACGTTTCGGTAAAAATTTTCATAACAAATCATTAAATAAGTGATAATAAAGGAAAATTTATGAATTCATTTTTATCATAACTTCACATTTATATAATTTTTTTAACTACAATGCTATAAAAAATTTATTTACGCCCATAATAATTTTTCACGTTAACAAATCAAAAATAAGGAAAAAACATGGAAAAATATTTTATTTAAAACTTTTCCGAATCTTTTTAAAAAAAACTTTTTTCTTTTTTCCTTTTTTTTCCTTCCTTTGAAAATAATTCAAATATTCGAAATACTCATAGAAAAATTTCAAAAACAGACGTTATGAAAAAAAAATTATAAACAAAAATATTTTTCTAAATAAAGTTTTTCATTATTGAATTTCAACTTTTGATATTTTCTTTCTTTCTCTCCCCTTTTTTTACTATTATTATTATTATCATCATCGTCAAAATTATTATTATTATTAAGATAGACTTCGTCATTAAAAACCCGGAAAAAGTTTTTTTTTTTTTTTTCTTTCCCTAACGCTGCTAACCGTCATTGAATCGTTTCGCATCGTTTTTTTCCGTTTCCGGTTTTTCCAAACTCAATGTTTTATGCGACTCCAAACAAAAAAAAAAAAAAAAGTTAAAGTAATAATAATAATAATATGTGGAGTAAAACGTGAACGTTAATTAAAAGTTTCTTTTTATAAAGTTTTTGTTTGCTTTCTTTTTAGAATTACGCAAAAAATGGCGGAGGGTAATTTGGAGTAAAAACGAAATCAATCGATAAAATTGATTTTTATTATAATAATTAATTAATTAGAAAATAACCGATGAAAAGTTTTCAACGATGATGATGATGATAATGATAATTAAAATACCAAAAACGTGAATTAATAATTTATATATGATGAAGGAAAAACAAAACAAATAGTAAGCGTGACGTCATAAAGTGAAATTTACGAGGATGAATAACATCGTCGTTATTACCTTTGATTGAATACGTAATTAATTTTTTTTTTTAATTTAAACGTGGAGAAGAAAATGAAACGATGATGATGATGATGATGATAATAATGATAAATCGTCTGCTATTATTACGAAGTAATCGTCAAGAAAATTATTTATTTATTTATTAAGATTTTTTTTATAAGAGAAATCGGAGGAGAAAATGGAATCGAATTTTTTTTTTTAACGGTTTTTTTTAAAATTTTTTTAGAGGGGAGGAGGAAGGGAGAAGGGGGCAGCTTTTGGATCGATCTGAAAAAAAATAAATATATTTTTTCTATTTTTAAAATTTCTACCGGGAAAAAAACCCCCCAAAAAAAAAAAAAAATTTTCGCAGATTATTAATCAATATTGTAAAAAAAAAATTTTCATTTTGTTTTAACCTTTTTAACCTTTTCCAAAAGGTTTTGTTTTTTTTTTTGGTGAAAATTCATTCGATTTAATTTTAAAAATATAATTTTAACCGTTTTTTTTTCTAAAACGTTAACACAATTAATGAAATACAAAAAAAAAAAAAAATATTTTTTCTCATCTCGGTTTGAATCGTTTCGTGTTTTAAAAAAAAAAAACAACACTCGATAATGATAATACCTTATCACGTGTTTATTAATTAATAAATTTATTTATTTATTTATGTATTTTTCGCACGCGCGTTTAATTAATTATTAATTTTTATTAAACGAAAAAAAAAAATGTGTGCGTAATTTATTTTTTTACTTCCGTTAACCAACAATATTTTCCTATATATTCGAAATTACATAAAATTATTATTATTATTAATGATTTAAAAAATAATAATAATGAAATGAACTCGAGGATGAAATAAGTTTTGGAGGGAGAGTGGAGAGGGAAGGGGGAAACTATTAATTACGAACGATTTTTTTTTTTTTATTAAAAAAAAGTTTAATTCGATAAAAAATATTTTATGAGATAATAAATATAAGGAATAAAAAGAGACAGAGAGAGAGAGAGAGAGAGAGAGAGAGAGAGAGAGAGAGAGAGAGAGGAGAAAGGGGGGATAGAGAGAGAAAGAAAAGAAGAGAAGATTCGGATGAAAACGATTTGTTTTTTTTTTTTTTTTTTTTTTTTTTTTTCAAAAAACAATATTATACGGTTGACAAAATAATGACGTAAACAAAACTTGTCATCCCGTTTTTTTTTTCCCCCGAATTTTCAATAACAAAAAAAAATGACGTCATACGGTAATAAAAAAGAAAATAATTATTTAATAATAATAATAATTAAATCTTACCTTGCGTTTTCGAATCTGGGACGACGTCGTCTGGACTGTCGTCCAGAGCATTGACAATCATAATGCATTATGCACAAAACGACAGAAGAAACGATGGTGACTATAAATGGCACGGCAAAATAGTTGATGATAATTTCTACTTGTTCATCTCTGTCGTAATGAGTCAAAACGACAGTTGAATTTTCTCTTGAATAATGACAAGGAAATTCGGTTCCTTCTATTCCATACGTGGCAGTAAATTGACCGCAATTCACTTCCGGCGGATAACCGCATCCTTTTATATTGACAAGTAAAACAGCTTCGTCGCTACCGTTCATCGTTTGAGAGGGAGATACATCGTCAAAACGATTATTATTTGACGTCATCAAAGTCGTGTAATTAGAATAAGAGACGTATATGTGAGTGCATTTATACATATCACTAGTGCAACCTTCGCGACACGATGACCACGTGCAATTAAATATTCCGCTATGATCTTCTCTACGTGTCGTCGTACACGTTACCGGCGTTTCTACGAAATCCGCTACCAGAGTCGATATGGCGGGATCGACGTAAAGTGGTACGAGAAACAAAAGTGAACTTCCGGCTGAAACTGCTGTGAGTGCGACTATTGACGTTGTGTAAAACCAAATACGTTGACGACAAGTTCTTTTGGGTGCTTTCTTTTTTTTCGGTGCAACCAATTCCAATAATTTTCTTCTTCTTAATTCTTGCTGCTGATCTATTAGCAGCTCTGAACTGCTACTCCTCATAACTTTTTGTAAATTGATTTCCCTCCCCGTGTGAGGTTCCGGATACGGTTGGATATCATCGCATTCTTCTCTAACAGCAGTCAGCCGGATATTCGATTTTTGTTTTTTATCACTCACGTTTATCACTAAATAATAACAACACTAAAACACATTCCTTCATGTTCATAACATAATTAATTTTATAAAATTTTTCATTGTTTGTTTAAAAAACAATTTTCACTATTATTATTATTATTATTTCCTACAAGATTTTAAAATTTTTCCATCGATTTCATTTAAAAAAAAAAAAAAAGTTTTGAAATTTTATATGTTTTATGTAATTACAACCATCACTACTAAACATTTCATTATGTGAAAAACATGATAAAAACAATTCGAACACAACAACAACAACATAAAGTTTTATGTTAATTAATCCAATCAAAACAAAAAAAAACATGAAACATTTTATATACCCTTATAATGTAATAATAAGTTTCTTTAAAAAAAATTTTTTTTTTATTAAACTACACAGGCTGGCCAACTGTTTTATTTAACTTTTACGAGTTTTTATCCATAATAATCTTTTTACATTATTATTATTATTTTGTCTTTAAAAAAAAAAGAAAATATCATTATGCTGGTTTTAATTTAATTAAAAAATAATAATAATAATAATAATAATAATAATATAAATTACTTTGAAATCGTTATATATATGTATAAATAAATATTACAAAAAAAAAAAAAAAAAGTTTTTTAGAGATTTATTTAAGCCTAAAAAAAAAAAAAGTTTTAATATTAATTCATGGTAAGGGAAAGTGGGTAATGAAAGAATAAAAAAGTAATGCCAGCTTAAAAAAAAAAAAAAAACGAGGGAGAAAATAAAGCGTTATCGAAACAAATATTAAACAACTGTTTCATTTTCTTATCAATCATTAAAAAAAATTTGTTTAATTT